AGCACAGCCACCGTTGCTAGTGTTATACAATTAGAAGACAATGAAAATAACACCACAACAAACAGACACTTAACAACAATTCTAAAAGAATACAAAGATGTCATCACAGAGAACATAGGACACACTAGTAGTTTAGATCACAAGATTATATTAACACAGGAACCCACATTCAAACACAAAATTTATCCAATCCCATATGCATTTAGGGAAGAAGTAAAGAAAGAACTAAATCATTTAATACAGACCAACAAGATTAAAAGATCAGATTCACCAATAGCATCACCCATGGTAGTAGTAATAGTAAAAAAGAAAAATGGCCAGTGCCGTATATGCTGTGACTATAGGGAGTTAAATAAAATCACCCAATTAGATGCAGAACCCATGAGGGACACCAGAGAACTACTTGAAGAAATAGGCTCCTCCACATTATTCACACACCTAGATTTAAACAGAGGATTCTGGCAAATAGGCATGCATCCAGATTCCATGCCTTATACTGCATTTGCCACAGAGGAAGGCTTGTTTGAATGGACAGTAATGCCATTTGGTCTGGTCAATTCTACCGCAACATTCTCTCGATTCATGCGAATCATGTTAGCAGGCATACCAAATGTCGTACATTTTGTTGATGATATCTGTATTCACACCAAAGATATGAAAACACATATAGAGACAATAAAAATATTACAAATTAAGATCACATGGAGTCACAATAGCACCAAACAAATTAAAATTTGCACAAGAGGAAATAGAATTTTTAGGATTTAAAGTCAGTAAGAACACAATTCAGCCCACAGAACACAACAGAGGAAAAATATTAAACATAAAAACACCACACACTCAAAAAGAAGTCAAAGCCATTTTAGGTTTGTGCAATTTTTACAGCACTTTTGTTCCAAAATTCTCTGATATTACTTTACCTTTAAGGAAACTAATAAACAAAGATAGCAAGAAACAAATAGTATGGACGGATGAATGTGAGAGTGCATTAAAAATAATCAAAGAAATTTTCCAAAGTGACAACATATTGTTATCACCCAATTTTAATCAGTCTTTCACTTTAGTGACAGACGCTTCCAACATTGGATTAGGAGCTTGCCTTATGCAAGAATTCAATCATAAACTAAGACCAATTACCTTTTTAAGTAGAGCACTAAGCAGAACTGAAATTAACTACTCAACCATTGAGAAGGAATGCTTAGCAATTGTGTGGGTACTTACAAAATTACAGAAATATCTATTAGGTAGAAAATTTATATTATTGACTGATCACAAGCCATTAGTGGCACTAAATAGAAAGAAAATAGCAAACAGCAAAATAAACAGATGGTCGTTGATCCTATTAGATTATCAGTATGAGTAAGGACAATAAAAGGAAAAGACAATACAGTAGCTGATTTCCTTTCTAGACACATTGAACATACAGACAATGACAAAGACACTGACTTAAGACACATTAGTCAGACATTCTAAATGAAGATACACACATACGTTCAATCAGTTTTGTTTTTGAAAATACACTTGTATATATCAATTTTGTATATGAAAATCACATTTTAACCAATTGTAAATTTTCTAATGCAAGATTTAAGGTTGATTACATTCATTTTGCAGTGTTTATTAATCATCAATATGTCTATGTCACTTCACATTATCATACATAAGAATTTTAAGAGGTTGTCATTAATGATTTTGTAAATTTTTTTGCCAAAATAAATTATTCACTATTATGTATGATATTAACAGTTAAAGGCCCTGTATTTCATAATGATGAAATGTTAATGTTGTTACACTTATTTGATTGATAGATGTGGGATTGAAATTTTCTAAGAGACATTATTATTTCAACATATATTTTTTGCCAAAAATTTTGTTGCACAAAATTTTTTCAGATGGGTGGGGCATGTAACGGACTATGTTTTCACAAGAAAACAGAGAGGTAGCGTGAGTGAACAGTGAATTGTGTTGACCAGGTTTTTCCACGGGGAGAGACAATCAATGGATTGTATTTTTGAGAACAAATGTGAGCTCCACGTTTTTGGAGAGTAAAATTATGTTTTTGTCAGAGTGGTTGTTTTCCACGCTTTTGCTGGTAATAAAGTATGAGTTGACTGATATAGAGAGAGCTGAGCGCAGAGCAGTAGAGAACAGTAGAGAACAGTAGAGAACAATAGAGAACAGTAGAGCTAGGAGAGCTGTGTGATTAGACAGTTGAGCTGAGTTGTAGCAGTGTGAGGACGTGTCTTTCTGAATGATGGAATACTATATATATACATGTGAAATTACATTCATGCAAGGATTATTATTAATATTATCAGTATAAAGTGTGTTCAATAAAGTACTGTAAGGTTTAACCAGAATTGAGTATTCTTCTTTGCGTGCCTGGATAATAAGTGGAAGAAGGAAGAAGTCTTAGTCGGCATCCTGAAGTATTAACATAAGTAACCATACTACTGACATAACCCACAGCATAAGAAATAAGATCCCACGCCATGTTAGAGTAGATGTGTTACAAAAGCTTGTTCCAGTCCCTGATTGTCTTTGGCAGGAATGGCTTTGCATATTTCTTACGCGTCAACCCGAACGCAGTATTCCCTGCATTTCTTAAATACTAATAAATATGCCGGCATAGGGTGTGTTTGCTTGTGATAATATAAGGCTAGTGTCGTTCTGAATTAAATTCCCGGTGTTTGCGTCGCCAGTAAATAATTGAGATGAAATATCCTAAATAAACGGTCCAATGAGCTCTGCTAAATACTTCTTGCCACAAACAGATTCACGTGTACATTTAGGAACCATATGATAAGATCAATAGTTGGCGCCGTGGCAGTCAGTCAGCATACGACCCATGCAGCTGATGTGTTGATTGGCCCAACTGTTCAAGATGCATGTCAGTAAGCTGGCAGCGCAAACATACGATGCTCTCTGGTTTTCAGGGGTCAGGGGACGTCCACGCGCTATTTGGGGGAGGGGGGTCGACTTTGTTAAGGACACTCTTTAAGATCCCCAACGTGAATCGTTCAGCAAGTCTCACGCCTTGCGGCAGATAGCTTACTGTACCCCATCGCGACGCCACCCGGCGTTGAGGCGGACAGAAGAAGAAGAAAATGAAATTTTTTATAAACTACTCACCAATCAGATCAAGCATCCCATAAGCCACCTGTTGCTCTGTTATCGTGTAGCTGATTTCAGAGAAGAAGATGTTGAGAAATATGAAGTTTTTACTGTGGAGAGTTGAGGACAGGACCAGGTTAGTTAATGAGTCGGCGTCCGCTTTTTAAATGGTGTTAACATTTGTGGCGGGCTAACTTCAACAGCTAGATTATACGCTGGGGCGAGGGGGGGGCATCATTTGAGGTTCTTTTAAGGGAGGGGGGGGGAACAAAAACTTGGTCGGCTTGTTAAGTTGTTTATTACTGGAGGCGCAACAGTACGTGACAATTTAGATAAAACCTGCAAATTCGGGGTGGGGGTGGTGCAAATAACCCATGCCCTACCAAAAAAGACATCCTTGTGTAAACGTAATGATATATTAGCTATATGAGTGATAATGTCGAGAATAATATAAGAGATTATATGATGGATAATGCAAGTGATATGGAAGGGATAATGGTGTCTTATAATGACGCCACCTTTCACTCTGAAACATCTCTTACTACCTAATTTCTTGACTTTTTCAAGGGAAGAGAGTTACATCACTAACGTATTGTTTAAAGCGGAAGAGAGCTACATCACTAACGTATTGTTTCAAGGAGAAGAGAGATACATCACTAACGTATTGTTTCAAGGGGAAGAGAGTTACA